AAAGCAGATGCTGAGACTTATAAGCCAGATTTTGGGCAGAGTGCAGGGAATCTTATGAAAGAAGGGAGGAGATAGAAAGAGCTGGACAGAACAGGAGCTCCACAAGGAGAGCAACAGAACCAAAAAAAAAAAAATGGGCACAGGGGTCTTTTCTGAGACTGATGCTCCAACAAAGGACCATGCATGAGATAACCTAGAACCCCTGTACAGATGTAGCCCATGGCAGCTAGGTATCCAAGTGGTTCCTTAGTAATGGGAACAGGGACTGTCTCTGACATGAACTCAGTGGCTGGCTCTTTGATCACCTCCCATTGAGTGGTGGGGGGCAGCCTTACCAGGCCACAGAGGAAGACAATATAGCCAGTCCTGATGAGACCTGATAGGCTAGAGTCAGAGGGAAGGGGAAGACAACCTCCTCTGTCAGTGGACCTGGGGAGGGGCATGGGAAGAGATGAGGGAGGGAAGGTGGGATTAGGAGGGGATGAGGGAAAAAACTACAGCTGAGATACAAAGTGAGTAAACTGTAATTTATAAAACAATAAATAAATTTTTAAAAATTTTGAAGCATAAACAGGAAATTTTGCTAAAGCACTCCTACTCTCTCTCTCACACACTCACATACACGTACTCATACACACACAGATATACACACACAAATATACACACAAACACACTTTAGTTGATTCAATTGACCTGTATGTTTTCATATGGTTGTGTAAATATTTAATTGTTTATGTTTAGATTTAGCCAAGTTTATTCATAGCATTTAAAATATATACCATTCTGAGTAACTGCTCCTTTAAGTACAAAGACCAATTCAATGCTCCTAAGATAGTTATTCATTCTGATACCTGGCATTGGTTTACAATGTCTCAAAAGCATCATTCAACAATATATGCCAATATTGCAAAAAGTTTTGATCAGTTGTTTGGTAAGACAAAGATTAAGAGTCAATATAAACTAAAACATTGTAATAAATACCCCATATTCAGACATAGCATTGTTTTTTAAATCCAAACCATCCAAAGTATTTCCTCCATTAGTAATGACATGAATGTGATCTGACTTGGTTTTCTTTGAACTTCAATTTGCAGAATGGGACAGCTTCTGGCGTCAGGCTGCCTGGATAGAAAATTATGTTCTTTTGCTTACAAGCTATATGACTTCTTCCAGACTCGATTTCCTTATCTATTAGATGGAGATAGTAATAGTGGCTACCTGTCTCTGAGAGTACAAGCACTTACTTCATTTACTTCATTTGTTTATCAACATGTGGTTACTGAAAGTTGCGCATAACTAAAATACTTAGTAAAACGAACATAGCAAGATAATTCAGTCATTAGCAAAGAACAGGATGGAAAGTCAGGCTACGGTCTTGGAACCCTGCCTATTGTTGAATTTATAAAGCTAACAGATGTAAATATATAAAATATAGTAAGTAATGATTGTAGAATCAGAGTTTATTGGCCTAATAGAAATGCAGACAAAGTAGGTCCTCAGTTTTCTTTCTCCCAGTGCCACATAGTTTCCAAGCAACCTCACCCTATCTTAGCTTCTTCTCTTTATTTAAAAACTGAAAGTGACTAAGAAAGCAGCTCAATGGTAAGGCTCTGACCTCCCATGTTCCAAGCCCTGGATTCAGTCACCAACACCACATAAAATAGGACATGGTGATAGAAGCCTATAATTTAACACTTGAAAGATACAGACAGGAGGATCAGAAGCGTTAGGTCATGGCCTTACAGGGAGTCCAGGCCAGCCTGGATTACAAAAGATTCTCAAGAGGGAGAAAGAGAGAGACGGGGAGGAGAGGCCAGGGGAAGGGGGGCCTAGAGAGACTAGTTCTTCATAGATTTTCGATTTTAATCAACCTTCAGATTAAGAAGATAGAATTTTAAAGTGTTTATGTGTTACTATAGGTAGTATCCTATGAAAATGGTAGCAATATAGTGCATGCTTTCATGAAGCTCACATCCCAGAGCAGAGATGTAGTGAGAGCTACATCTCATGTTCACCAAACAGATTCTGACCTCTTTGTGAGGTGAGAATGAAATGAGGATGTTTGTACTTTTTCTGAGCCTTCCCCCCCCCAAAAAAAAATGCTTTATTTGAGGTAATAAGGAAGCAAACCTTCATGGGGCTGGGACTGAACAATGGCAGGAGTGGACCAAAATCAAATAAGTCACGTAGGGTGGAAGTATGGACTGACCTACAGGAAAGGGGGTCCTATAACACGCTCTGAACAACTGTCTGTCAGGTGCCATGGAAATGCTGTTTCTGGTCAATTCAACTAAATTGATTGTATCTTCCCATTGCTGCTCTTATTTTATCATTGGGTATGATATTAAGTGGATTTCAGGACTTTTCAGTTACTTTAGTCCAATTACAAACAGTGAGCATTCCTGAGTTTCTCTGGATTTCATTTGTAAACTTGTGGCACTCTGGACACTTCAGCAGCCATTTCTGTAGACAGATCAAGCCGTGTGTTTTTCAGTCTCTTCTGTTTGCATAAGAGCTTTAGAAGACTCTAGAAATTTTTGACCAATAGTTAAAACCTAAACCACCTTAAAATCACCAGGAACTGCCTTGCCATTCCAGTTTTTTTTTATTTAAATTCATTTTTTATAACTTATTTACTTTACATCTCAATTGTAACCCCCTTCATTTCTCCTCCCAGTCCCACCCTCCCTCTCTTTCCCCCCTTATTGCCCTTCCCTAGTCCTCAGAAAGGGAGAGCTCTCCTCCCTACCATCTGACCTCAGCCTATCAAGCCTCATTAGGATTGCAGGCATCCTCTTCTTCTGTGGCCTGGCAAAGGTCCCCACAAGGGGAAGTGAACAACAGACAACAGAATCCATGTCAGAGACAGCCCTGTTCCCCTTACTGGGGAACCCACATGGAGATTGAACTGCCTATAGGCTATATCTGAGCAGGGGGTCTAGGCGCTCTTCATGCACGGTGCTTGGTTGGTGCATCAGTCTCTGCAGGAAACCCTGGGGACCAGTTCTGTCTCTGTTGGTCTTTTTTTTTTTTTTTTTCTTTCTTCAGACCAGTGTTTTAGATAAGCCTTATGGGCAAGGTTAGTTCTCCCGGGCCATCCTGAAACACACAGCCCTCTGTGAGCTCAAGCAGCTTCCAACTTCAGATGCTTAGACCCCAAGAGGTAACAACGCTAAGCTAGCTTCCCCCATGGCCGAGGGAAGAATGTCACCCTGGGTGAATGGTGAAGTATCTACACAGTTGTCGCTTGTCCTTGCTATTATTTCTGAAATAGAAGAATATAAAACTAATCAAGTGCTATTAGGGAAATTCTTACACACACACACACACATTTTTAAACACACAAGTACATTTCCTGCCCATATTTTTAGCAGTAGTGTAGGTAATTCTGACGCAGATGGTCTAAAAACGGCGTTCTGAAATCAGCTGGATTGCGCTGATCAATCAGCATTCTTGGACAGGGAGTCAGTTGGGTACCAAGCTACCACTCAAGAATACAGAACTCTAGGATTCTAGGAATGGCCTTAGCTTCCACAGGGCACAACAATCTGTTCATCAATATGTGCTTTTAAATATCTGTGGGGAATCCTAATTTGTACTCGGCAGTATAAAAGGTGAAGGGTTAGGCCTAGTATATCACATCTGTGTGTGCGTGTTCTATGCTTTGCTAGCTTCCTGGTTTTGTGCATTGTCTACTATCTTGGTCTGTGTAATGACTGCCCCAAAGTTTAAATGAATGGAACAATGAATTTAATAGCCAGCATGTTAGAAGTAGTTACTGTTATCATTGTGTGCATGTGTGTTCCCATGTGTAGGTGTGTGTGCACATGTAACATGTTCAGAAGTAAAATTGTGATTTACAACTTCAAGAAGAACATATATAAACAATACAAACATAAAGAAAAATTTAAACTTTTTATTCGAGACAAGTAGTAGGCTTGCATGCACCAAAAACGCAATATACTAATTTTAATGGTTATGATTTTAATGCGTATGAATGTTTTCTGAATGTATGTATGTTCAACTACATGTGTATAGAGTCTGCTGAGGACAGAGAGGGTCTTGGGTTTCCTAAAACTGGAATTACCCATGTTTGTGAGCCAATATATGGGTGCTCGGTCCTCTGCAAGAGCAGCAAGTGCTCCTAAACAAAATGTAATTTTCCAAGTAACAAAGTAGATTACAAAACAGAGAATTAAAAGAACATTTAAAAATAATTTTATAAAAATGTTTTACAGTGTTTAATTGTACTGTAAGTGACCTAATTCTCTTTAATTCACCAAATGTTTCTATAGCCTATAGAGAAAATAAAGCCTAATAAGTGGCAACCGATTTGAATTTGTCACTTCATTATATAAAGAGCCCAAACCAGAAACTGTATACCTTTGCAAGAAATCTTTGGATGTGCCAAAAGAAACCTGAGACCCCATACAATTTCATTAAGTACTGTTTATAGGGTGTGAGTGTTTCTGAGAAACCTACACCTCTCACCTCATTCTCAAAAGGTTTTTTGTGGCACTCCAAAAGGTTAAGGACCACAGAATGTGCTCATTTAGCACACTTCCTACATAGTCTCTTTTATGCTGGAGAAATATCTCCACTGATAGCATTCCAAATAGCGTGTTTGACTGGATTCTCTTTTACTGGCCTCTGGAACATTTTTTCCCAAGCTCTCACTGTTTAGCCATCCAACCACAGAAGTGCAGGAATACACTTCCATCACCTCCGAAGCAGTTCTGCTGCAGTCGCCTATCCAAATTCTTCAGACAGCCTCGTGATGCTTGTGCACATTTACTTTTGACTCAATGATGGGTCCTTTGGCTTATTTACTATTAGTTCTGTGTTGCATTTCATCTCAGAAAACTGGCACAGCTTCTCTGGAAAAGTACAGTTCAGTTCTGCTGCTTTTTGTCTGGCTAGCATTTCACCCATTCATATTTTACTTATAATGTGGAAACGACCCTATTGACGCTCTGTGTTTTATTTCTCTCTTTCTTTAGGTGTGTATGCAACATTGACTGTTCTCAAACCAACTTCAATCCCCTCTGTGCTTCTGACGGGAAATCTTATGATAATGCATGTCAAATCAAAGAAGCGTCATGTCAGAAACAGGAGAAAATTGAAGTCATGTCTCTGGGTCGATGTCAAGGTAATATTCATAGCAAAATTTCATTTCAAAAAAATGTTTTTAGTCTCTGTGCAGAAATGAAAAGTGAAGATAATTCCTTACTAGGCAGCTATTTCATTTCCGAAAGACAGTTCTGACTCACAATGGATCATGTAGTCAGCTGTAGAATTTGTGTTGATTATGGGTGTTTGAGGACCCATCAGCAATAGTGCATGTCTTTTTCAATATAATGGGGCTGTATTGTGACAAGGCCATGAGCACAGGAGCCAGTATTCAGAAGATAGCAGACATTCTCCTGGCAAAGGCTGAAGAGAACATCTAGTAAAGAATTTAAGAATTGATTAGAAACCTTAGAATTAAAAGCAAAAACTCCTCCTTTGTATTGATTCAATAGAAATATTTTGAGCACATCCTTAAAAGCTGAACATAGTATAATATTCTGTTTTGTTGTTCAGGAGAAATGGTTTAGGGGGCTCAGACTTATTTTTCTTTTATTCAGTGTATCTCAGTAACAGTCTGAACTTTCTTGTCAAACTTCAGAAAGCTGACACCATCCTGTTACTCACATAGACATACATGTGTACTGGAAATCTTTGTATGGAGTGTTCAAAACTATAATTGGGGATTGTTGTTGAAGAAAGCAATAAGCCTTAAGTGCAGTGAAGACTTGAAGGTACTGTTGGAAGAGTAAATTTGATAGATATGTAGGCAATGGTTAACTGTATTTTATTGTTAATTTTTAAACATAGATAACTCAACTACAACCACTAAATCTGAAGATGGGCATTACGCAAGAACAGATTATGCTGGTATGTAAAATTTCCTACTACTTATTCTGTCCTTGATCACCAATGTTTACTGCTTGTCCTAACCTGAACACTTGCTGATCTTCTTTCTTAGTTCAAGCTTCCAGTGAGCAAGAGGAAATTTTTATTGAAGCAAATCAGACACACTCTTTTTTTTTCCATAGTTAAAACAACTGTCAAAGATGTCAGTAAGATATAATTAACTTGTTTTGACAGCGTAAATGGTACAAATGACAAAACATTTATCAAATTAATGGGCATCAATGGAAATTAATGCAAGGTCTGGCAGCATATTGTAATAAATGCAAATGTTCTTATTTGAATTTTCATAAAAGTCAACAATGGAAAGTTTGCTGGTCTCTGAGAAGGTAGAAATAAAGGAGAGCTACAAGTGCCAACACAGGCTACTGTGGTGTGCATGCAGAGTTAAAAATGGATACACAGTTTATTTTTTACAGAAACTAACGTCTCATTTAGTTAGAGTCTATAATGCAGTTTCTCAGACATGCAAAGTTATAATCAACTTTACATAAAAATATTAATCTTACTTAGAAACTATGGAACTTACTTTGAGTAATAAAAAATGCTACCTGATTTAATTCTCCTACAGTGAGAAATGATTGATGGGAATGCAATTGGTGTTTTATCAGATGGCTATAATTTATGGGAATTGAAGGTAAATTATAAAAATAAAATTATTTTTATGAAAGTATTCAAGAAATTTTTTACTTACCCACTTATTCATCCGTGCTGTTTTGAGACAGGGCTTTTCTGTGTAGCCCTGGCTTTCCTGGAACTCACTATGTAGACCAAGCTGGCCTCAAACTCACCATGATCTGCTTGCCTTTGCCTCCCAAGTACTGGAATTAAAGCATGCACCACCACACCCAGCTTCAAGGGATTCTTTTTTTTTTTTTTAAGTTTTATAATTGCCTTATTTACGTTGGGCCAGGCAGACATTCCTATCTATGCTCTCTGAATAGCCTCACCACCTATCTCCCAGCCCCATCCAACGCCATCCTCTTTAACCATCCTATCGTTCATTCATAATCTTCCAAATACTTGCTTTTATTCTTCAAGGGATTCTAAACAGAGCTTTTCATTTAGCTGCTAAACACTTGTAACCAATTTTATAGTTAGTATTCGAACCAAATCAATGGCTTCTAGTCCTTCAAAATATATACTGCCTTTTGGTCTTCTTATTTCATTATTCCATTTTACTTAATGATAATTGCCATTATGTTTATATGTAAACAAATCTCTGGTAGTATATTAATTACTTGCATATATCAGAATGTGGACATAAAAGGATTTTAACGTTTGCATATTTTACCTTAATGCTTTCAATGTCTACATAAGACTACATATACTAAATGCCAGAAACTATCAGTTATGCAACAGGTTAACATTGGTTCTAATATATATATATATATATATATATGTGTGTGTGTGTGTGTGTGTGTGTGTGTGTGTGTGTGTGTGTGTGTTGATAACCATTCCCCAAAACACCCACTAGAGATATTAAAAGATGCTTCTTGAGAAGAATAGATCAGTATTGAGTATGTTTGGGAAGTGCTACAATAAATAATTGATCTTCTCCCCAGTCTTCCTCATAGCTCTTATTTCCATTATACAATCTTTATAAATACACATTTTATGTCAAATCATCTTTCAGAGATTGGTTTTGGGGACTAGTTATAGCCCTTGATAAATACCAAAATCTAAGGATAATATAGTCTCTTACATAAAGTAGAGTGATGTTTACATATTATCTACGCACATCTTCTATGTCTTAAATCGTGTCTATACAACTTATAACACTTAATACACTGTAAAGTCTATGAGAATATTTGTGGTATTGGATTGCTTAAAGAATAAACTCTCCATACATATTCTGAAACGTATATTTTGATCCACAGTTAATTGAATCTATGAATACAGAGCTCATGGAAATGGAAGGCCATCTTATTTTACTTTTTCTTAATGAGAACATCTAGTGCGTGCAATTTTACACAAACACATTGGGTATAATACCGTGAATCCTCATGTAATTATCTTTTAAAAACAGTTACAGCATATCCTGGCTACAACCCCATTTTTATGCTCTCTCACTCTTTCCGTCCAGAATAGATGCAAGAACCTGCTAGAAATCACCACTTAAATCATAACTTATCATACATCTCCAAAAACTCAAATTCTTTTTTTTAAATAATAACAGTACTATAATCATCTTTTAAATACTTAAAATCTTTTATAGTATACATCATTAATCAAAAATATCTGAAAACTAGCATATTTTTGTTAAACGTTTTGCAAGACTTTTGTTCCCAGAAGTGCACTCCCCAGATTTGCTGATCCATAGAACATTATTAAAAGCAATAAAATATAATAGTGACAATTAATATATGAGACTGATAATACATGCCTTAAGATTTAAATAGAAGCAAATATGAATATTATATTTTATTGTAAACAACTATCTTGATGTATTATAAGCTACTGCCACTAAATGTACTTATCATAACTATATCCTTCCTGTGAAAGCTCATTAATTTGGAAAAGTATTCAAAAATGTTGCATCCTGTGCCTATCTTTTTCCTTGAGCCATCCACCACTGGACTTATAAAAAAAAAATGGTCTTTCCCTGAGGACTTTTTTCCTCAACACGGAACTCTGGAGGCTCATCAGCATCCTGCGCGATGCCTGCACACACAAACATCCCAGTGGTAAAAACCGACCAAGAACCTGCCACCCTCCCAGTGTCACTCGCATTGCATACCACAGGTCACCTTCAAAGAGAACCCAGGACTAAATTTCTAGCCCATATATATTCATATTTTAGACAGTTAACTTATGATGTGAACTGCCTCTCCTTTTAGTTCACATTGTCTTTATTTTCAATATAATTTTATCCATTCTCTTCTTTGAAAATTTCATGCATTTCAGCACCATACTTCGAACATCTCATCCATTACCTCCCTCCGCCTCTCCCAGTAACTTCTGCCCTGTCGCCCTCCCAACTTCACACCCTCCTTTCGTTCTTGTTATTAATAACTCCTTGAGTCCCACTGTTGATGGTTGCCGAGGAAGGGAGAGTAACTCCGCTTGGGGATGTGGGCTCGTTTTCCCATGCCCCTGTGGATGACCCCACACGTAAGCACATATGAGCTGCATGTGTTGTTTTCCATCTTACTTTTATCTCTAATGAACGTAGAGTGAAAATGATCAGGCAATTCGACATGCTACAGACTGTTCTAGTTTGACAAGAGATTAATCTAGTAAATCTCAAAGAAAATCTTATATGATAGAATGTGTGGTATTTGAGGGCCACCAGACCGGCTGGTCAGATGAAGGTACTTGGTCCCAGCTCTGATTAGCAGGGTTTAGTCCCCAGGAACCATCAGGCAGCAGGACAAGGCAGCTCCTGCAGGTTCCCCTCTAACCTCCATCTCCACACTGGCACATGCACAAACAGAGATACATAAGATACATAAGAGCACACAAAACAAAGAAACAAATGAAACAATTTCTAACGTTATGTTTAAACATACATGCTTGTTAAAATCCAAATAAAATATGGAAACAAAAACATTAATTGAAACTTACAATCCATAGTTAATGGACCGAATCCTGTAAATCCTCCTAGAAGTAACTTCAGCTGCATGTGATTTTCATACATGCTTTTATTAAAATATGGTGTATTAGAAAATATTTAGTAATCATGTTTTTCAACATTTCTAAGCATTCAATAGGATTTTCATTTTCCCAACTTTGGGACATAGCTTTTGGAAATTTAAAAGAGTCAAATGGAAAGTCAGTATGTTATTGTCCTGATAATTTATATTTCACATGTTATAAACTCTCCAAAGAGGGAAAACAGGAACTCCGTGACTCATATGCCTAGAAGTTTGCAATGTGCTCACAATTAGTTTGATGTCACAGCAACTTCCCTTGTTAAACAAAATGTCCATGGACTCTCCCACTGGAAGGAAGTAGCAATTGTAACTCACTCATTTTTCCAGATGTGACACTAGTACTGTAAGCTTAGGCACTGTTACCAACCCCCCTTTCACTTTTGAACCTACTTTTAAAAACTTTTCATGCAAGAACAGTCATTTGTAAATGCAAAAATAGTTATCTTCTTTAAAGAAAGTCTGAATCTCAACTTATACTTGTTAAACTTCCATTGTAATAACATCTAAAAGATAGACTTCAGCCAGGACCAACATAGACTGGATGACAATTCTGGATTTAAAAAGAACTAACCAAAACAATAACATTTAAAACCAAGCTAATATGTGCCAGAGGCTAGAATGTGTCTACCTGGTGCAGAAACATGAATCCACGATCCTCACAGGCACAAAGGTGAAGTCCATCCTCACCAGAGAGCTGAAAGACCTTCTAGCATAGCCCAACCAGAATGATTCTGTCTGGAATCACCTTCCTGTCTTTTCTATTTTAATGAGAACTGAGGCATTTCTGTTTCTTGAATCAATGGCTTTGCATCTCTGTGTTTCAAGCCCAGTGAAAAGTCTCTGCTATAGATGCTGAAAAGACCAATTGATACCATTCTCCCCACATCATTCTAAGTCTTAAGCTTAGATTTAAGTCTGTCTTTTCACTACAGAAAGAGTCAAAGATTGCAGATTTTCTAAATCACAAAGCTAGGGCTTTCTGTCCTTTCCACAAGCTAATATTAACATTCCCTGGTGAACATTTAAGATGGTGCTATATATATATATCTGTCCTTGACAAGTCTTGTACTAAAAGGAAAGTGAATTTTAAAACTGTGTTTTCCTGTGTCTAATGTGTATCTATATATGTGTCTCCTGATTGTTTCTTCTCTGGCTGAGAGTCTCATCAAGCTCAGAAAACATGACTACATATTTTTCTCCGGTGAAAAAGTACTTAATTTTATAGCTTGTTAAATGTTAAAGAAACACATAAATTTCAACTACTTTAGCTTTTATCATCTAGAAAATAAAATGTGTTTTATTTTATGT